CATCCGGCTGTCGTTCCAAATTTTTATATGTTTACATGTTTATACTTATGCCATCTATTCTATGCTACATATGTTCACAATAAATGATTGAGAATTGAGTAAACTCTATTTAATGTTCTAAATTCATATCAGTAACATCCCATTTAAGTAATAACAATTTTAATGGACTTTTGTGCTACTGGGTGATAGAGCATTAATTTTAATTATTCTCCAAGGATGATGAATTAAGAAAATTTTCCTGGCCGTTGGCTCACAATTGTTTTGAACGCGTAGGTCATCTGAATTATCTTATATATCTTCTATAATGGTTACGTAAATGAGTTTCCACGGTTGTTCTCGACAATGTGCGGTGGTGCAACGGTGGCACCCGCTGTTCAGTCGTATGCGCAGCACGGCTCTGTCAACTTATACGACACGATCCATTTGCTATTGTGATCCAAGTGACTTACACACGTTGTTATAGTGCTCTGGATAGTGCAGTGTTATTATAAGAAACAATCGGAAGCGGTTTGTTTGTTTTACAAAAGAGATTATGCGTGTTACTTAAACTTTTCATTAATTGTTTTTTTTTTTGTTTGTAGTGTTTTTATTAATGTAATTAATTAACGAACACTTAAGTCTGCAAAAATATTAATCATTTTATACGTTATATCGTAGTGTTTAAAGTGGGCGGGCGGCCTTTTTGAGTGAAACGTAGGAGCGGCAGAGGCGGGCGGGTCGCGCTATGGTTTATGGTTTAAATAAAATATTATTAACACGAGGTTTACAAATAATAATTATTATTAATGTTTTGAAGAACCTTCATTGTGATAATGATAATTTGTCATTTCTTTCAAGACGCCTACTCTATGAAGGCATTCTATTTATTTATTTTAATATATAGATATTAGAATATTTTGTTGCGTGGTTCTGAGAATTTGTTTACAATGATTGCTGATAACATATTTGTATTTAATGATACATTTATTGCGTCTCATTATGATAATTTACATATATAACTTTATTCTGAGTCATGCAATAACATTGATAACTCAAAATTACACAGATAATAAAATTCCCAACGGATTTTTTAAGGAAAACTTTAAAAGTCCAATAAAATAATCTATAAATTACTGACTACTAGCACTTGATTTCAACGTAAACTAGGTATTTTATCATCATAAAAAAGTACTCTGTACTTTAAAATTATAATAAAGTTTCCATAGTTCTCCTTAAAGATTTTTATAAATACTTGAAATAGACGTTTAAATTGATCTTCCTTTTCCATTGAAAGCCATTGATTATCTACGATTTCTCTTCCCTGCCCACTTACGGTCACTAACGGTCGTGGCTGATGTTAATAACATGTCATAGTTCAATGCCCCAATAATTCACTAGACGTCTATTATACAATTACAATCGAAAAATTTGCTGCACTAATAATTGGCGTCAGTGACACCCGGGCGGATTTGATAGCAACTCCCGAATAACCTTTTATTATTATTCTTTGCAACTCGATGTGATGTTAATGCAATGTTATTGAAAGTTTTAACAATATGTAAGCTTAACCCGTGAAGGATGACTTTCTCCCTCTACTAATTCTGTATTCTCTCTGGTCAAAAATATTGTGAACACTAAGTTTAGCAGCGTATTAAAATTATTTTTTGAAACTTAATATGACATAAATGTTATGTTATAGCGGCTTGAAATCTGTTATTTGTCAAGAACCCCTTTGCATTGGGTGTCACCACCTAAACAGGTAACACAAAGACCCCTTCTTTTCTCCCTAGCTATATACATACATCCCTAGCTATGTATGCCACGTTACATAAACATTGACAAAAGCATTCGTTTAAATCTTTATAATATATTAATTTGAATTCTAAGATATTAACTGAGTAAACAAACAGCACCAACGAGTTCAATCTGTAAGAAACTTTAATTACCATGTATTCTTTTGTGAGAGAACGGGGTTCTGTTAATCGCCCGTTCAATGGTTGAGCATTTTCTCAACGTGAATAGAATATTGCGCATTGCGCATTATTTGTAAAGTTCGCATGACCAACTAATCTAAAAAGTCTAATTATAACGTGCAAAAGATAAAATATCCAATTCTGTTTGATGCGTATTTTGTTACTTACAATAAAAACATTCTTTTCATCAAGTACGACTCGGGTACCATTTTCTATGAAAAACACAAAAAATCATGTTTCTTGTATGGCAGGCCCCTTAAATATTTATTTTAGTCTAATTTTAGTATTTTTTGTTGTAGCGAAAATAGAAATGCATCATCCGTGAAATTTTCAATTGTCTAGCTATTACGGTTCACGAGAAACAGTCTCGTGACAGACGGAGTCCCGTTTTTACCCTTTGGGTGCGGAGCCCTAAAAATAAGCCGTTAACTGGCCAGCTGGTAATGATCGGTCTGCTGGTAGACCGCGTAAGCGTTGGCTTGAGACCGAGTTACTGTAGCCATGTGAGTGCCGCTATGCGCTACCAGCGGCGGTGCGACGGCACTTGCACATCCATTATTCCAATACCCGTTAAGCATTCTTTACAGAGATAGTGTTATTTTGCTAACATCAATGTAGGGTTTGTTTAACCACTTGATTCAAATTGCGAACTCTCGTCCTTATGTAATGATCTTTAATTGGTTTTAAAGAGAATAATGTGATAAAATGAGGAGATGTAGGATGATGAAAGAAGACCGATGAAGAGATGGAGAGACTGTTTAAGGGATAAAATGTATTAGAAGATATTGATGAGGGTACCTTATCAGAAAGAATATAAGATCACATATCACTGGCCGCAAATGAAATTAGGATAGGCAATGTGTGAACGCCGCTTTTAGCACAAAACATCATCGAACACGTATTAACAAATGTCAATTTTAATTCCCTTTGTTGAGTTAGGTGTGTTGTGCACTTTAAATAAAAATACTGACATTGACGCATGATAATTTTTCATGCTAAATGTAAGTTAATGGCAGCTAGTTAGCTTTAATAACAATGAAGGCACGTTATAAAATATCGAAATTTTTATAGTTATAGTTTTAAATTATGATTTTGTCGATTAATGTATGTGATTAAGATGCATGCGTGGTCTCATAATATAATTTGTTATGTTATGATATAAAAATCGACAAATATATGTAAGACAGTCATATAAAACAACTAATAGGATGATTAATGATTTTAATTCTTATCGATTTATCATTACGTAAGTTGTCTTGCAAATTAGATGTCTCATATAACATCTATTGAGATGATTAATGATAGAACTCTAATGACTAATTTATCAAGCAAAGAAAACAACTAATTATATACAAGTTAAATCGTGGATTTAATAGATTAGTATAGGGCGTCAACTTTGTCATAAAGGCGAAAGTCTCAATGTAGTTAATTACACTTTTTAGAGTAAGTTAATTAATATTAACACTTCCTGTGGTCAACACTTCATGTCTTTAAATTTTCCGTAAAGAGTAGTACCGCCCCTATCCATTACTATATTCCTTGTCGTTATTTGTTTACCTTAACTCGAAACCTTCGAGACGTTATACTTGACGAAATAATTACACGTTTTTACAGAGAATCCATTAGCAAAGAATCAGGTCACAGATTCACCGATAAAATTACCAATGATGAACTTTAAACTGGGGGTTCGGCAAGATGCATTGTGCTCGCAGGTAATACGTATTGCGACACAGATGCTTCATAGATCAAGGACCAAGTTCTAACGTGTACAATGGTATCTATTATATGAATTACGGGTTTCTGTGATCGTAATTATAGGACCGTAAGACGTACCGATTTTCATACATTAATTCATGATCAAACACTTGCGCAGTTGTAGTGTCAGTGTATGCAGTATAGGTACTTATTTAATGATTTTAAACTTCATAGTTTTGCTGTCTAGAGTTTGACTTTACTTCTTAGTAAAATATAACATAGTTTAAATATAAAATGAACCTCTGAAAAATTTGTTAGTAACAAAATTAGTAAGGAATTAATACGTTTATTAATTTATTTTACTTTGAAATTGATTTTTACATATCTTTTATTACGATATGTTTTTTCAATTCTAAGATCAATCTGATAACATTAATGGAATTTTCAACGAACATAAAATGCCGATCAGGTCATGAGACCCCAGGCTGACCTGGGTCAAAACGTGACCGCGTAACTCATTGTGTCTTACCGCACATCGCATCCCATAACTCGGAAGCGAAGATGGTTAGATGGCCCGTGTTATCAGTGCATCTGTTGCATTAACGGCACATCAGTTGCATAAAGCGGTCCGTTGCACAATCCCGCGTATTTCGCTCTCGACGGTCTCGCTTGCCGCCGCCATTGTCGCGCACGCGCGTTACTGAGAACGTTCCCGCGTAAGCGCAAAAAGCTTGGGAACTGCGTTCGAACAATCATGGCCGACATAACACTACGAATGTTATCTGAGTTTACAACATCGCGCACGTTCTCATTACTTATTACAGAGCTGTTTCACAATCTAACTAGTATGACTTATGGATTGAAACTAGATGACCGAATATGTGTATGTTCATGAATAAACCTATAATCTAACAAAGGTAAATGATTCAAGTGGCTAAGCTAGAAAGATAGTTGCTCGCTAAGTAGCCAATTGTTTACAGAAAATATTTCTTGCTGCTGTTGTTGATGTGTTATAACAATAGCAAAAGTGTTGTAAGATCTTTATCCGCTCCGCGTATTCAATGTAAATTGTTAACATATTAATGGTAAAGAATTTCTTTTCTTGAACTGCAACTGCAAACACAATACTACAAACAAACAAACAACAAACCGTATCTGTAATCGATCTTTCATTCACACAGTGTTTCACGAACAGGTCATCGTGGTGCGTGTTCTAATAGTGTTTCTATTTACCTTCCCCCAAAGTCTAAGAAGCACTGATGGCATTTAAGTGAACACAAAAATCACGACATGTTTTTTCGAACAAAAGAGTTCAAATATCATCTCGTGAAATTGATTTGAATGTCTTCCAAAATGGTGAACGGTAATTATATCATTTACGGGGACAGACCGTCTTCAGAGTCGGAGATCGTAGATGACCACGTCCACACAAAGACTGCTGAAAAGAGAACAAAACGTAAAACTTATCGTACGGCTAACGAACTTCAACCTACTTTGAACTTGGCTCAATTGGATAATGAGACTGACTCCGTTAAATGTGAAAAAAGAGTGAAAGAGCCGAAATTACTGCGGTACGTGCCTACGACCGACGTGGAAGAGAACTTTGTATCTGAGAGGTTTGAGACCTACGACTTAAAGCCATCCGAAGAGCGGCCTAGAAGATACGGATTTACTAAGAAACCCAAAAATCCAGCGGATGGATCTGTAAATTACGCATACTCTCGGTCGAGCAGCAGCTGCAGTTCCCCTAATGGTAACTTGCCTACGATATCTGAACATACAGAACAGTATGGCACGTTTCGTATTCAGCATATACCAGGTCCAGATCCCAGTGAAATGATAACAGGCTTTGAATCCAAGATGGATAAATATTTCGCCAAGCCAAGAGAAGTAAAAAAGTTTGCGGCTAAGGTAAGCTACAATGTAAGTTGAATTTTTTTTTGTTAATAATGTAATGTATTAACGTGACTATATTTGTTTAATTGTAGTAATGTGTAAGATTAGGTGCTATCGATGCTTGATCTCAAAGTCTACTCAAATTAGTTGAATTTAATCGAATGAATAGTAATAAATTCGTTCATCGGATAGCTATTATTAAGTATTAGAGAAATTAACTAATTAAAACAGATGAATGTTCCAAATATTTTGGAGTAGTTATTATATATAGGTACATATATATAAATTGATTTTTCTTGACATTTTCAATTTGTTCGAACTAAATTTCCTAGAGCACGTTTTGTATTCTCATTACTATTAGTAGTACTATTTATGCAGAAGTTGAAAAATGTAGATATTTTTATTTATACCTTTTATACAATTTATTAATTATTATTTTTAATAAACATTAATTAATAATTATATTAATTTAAATAAAATAATGAAAAAGATCAAAAATGATAATTTTGTAGTCACACTTTTTTTTTTAATGAGTTCACAGCCATTTCAACATATGATAGACCTATTTACGCATTTACGCACTTAAGTCTATTTATTTAGCTATCATTAATCATTGCTATAATATTAAATATGTAATATTATATCACAAATGGATATATATAATGAAAGTTATAATACATTGTCTCTAATTTGTTAAAAGAGAAACGATAAGTATAATGTTTTCCTCGTAAACTGTTTAAGCAACTCATAAAATATGGTTGTCTCAGGCGATTAGAGGTGGCAAGATATTTATTTTACTAAAAGATTTATAGACGTAATATGAAACCGTTGTAAAATATAAATGATTATAATTACCGAACAGTATCATATTTATTAAGCCATAAGCCATTTCTCATCATAATAACTCTAATAATTTTAAATTTCCTTTGATATAACATTTTAAAAGGTTTTATGTAACTTGTAGTTTATCACTACATGTATAAAACAAAGTCGCTTTCTCGGTCCGTATATCCCCATGTAAGCTTAAATCTTTAAAACTACGCAACGGATTTTGATGCGGTTTTTATTATTGATAGGGTGATTCAAAAGGAAGGTTTTTATGTATAATACAATACCATGCGGGCGAAGCCGCTGGCGGAAAGTTAGTGTATGTATATTCGCGAAATTTTTAAGATTTTTAAGCAGTTATCCTCAAATAATTATGTTTACGATTTGCATATATGTTTAGTTTATATAAAATGCATGGTTACATAAGTTACAATTTTTTTTAATCTAATATGACTTACCTTATTTACATTATTTTAATATGATGGCACAAGATGCAGAATGGCCTAATTATTAAATTTGGCCCTGTCATTATAGGAATGTACTAAGAAAAAAATACGAAAACTACAAATAAATTTATCCTACATCGAATATCTGAATAGGTGTACAAGGTGGCGGACAGTCAGCTTTATGCACTTATTGATATCCTCATAACATCAATATTAAATGAAAAGGTTTGCTAAGAAGATTACGATAAAAATAAATCAATGATTTTCATTCTGAATTCAATATGGCGGACCTCCTATGATAGCCGAATTGTCATGTCATACGGGTATCAAATGAAAGGGATCGCAGAGAAAATTTAAGGCTTATATAAACTTTGTTTCATTATAAACTTATACAAAACTTTGTAAGTAACAAAAAAGCTTATAAATAAAGTTAAATCTTCATTAAAATAAAGATTTACGTTTTTTTACAACAAAAAAAAACCTGAAGTAAAATATTATCTGAAATATTAAGTGAAAGGTAGATACGTATAATAGGTGAAAAATTACTTCTAATGAAATAAAACACGTAATAACGTCTAACGTAACCAACGTATATACACTTACAAGATTATGGAAAATAACGACGATTATGAAAATTAATACAAAATTACACGGAACAGTCAATTATCTCGACATAAGGCAGCTCTGGAAAAGCAACTTTTCCACTAATTGTAAGTTCTATGAGTATCTATGATTTGTTACATTCTTAGTATTTGAAACTGTCACCTTTACTCACTAAAACTTTAAGTTTGCAGTTCAGATAAACTGTAAACTTAAAGTTGAATGTTAAAATTTGTTTAAAATTTAAATAAAATTATTCAACTTCTGTACAGTTAATTTTCATACGAAGACTTGGTATTCTATATAGGACTGTATTAATATAAATAAATATGTGCATATCATAACTTAAACGTATTGCATGTCAAAAGACAACGTGTAAGGTACTCTATAGTGAATATATCCTAAGTTTCTTAGTAGTTAATAACCGATTTCGTAACAGTTTCGCCCTAAACTGGATATTAATGGCGGGTGGTATGGCGTATGTTACAGAGAGCTTGTAATGTATGGCACTGAATTGCCCCATACTCGACTGCAACATATGAACGTGGACTAATTAAGTGAATTTATTTGATCTGCCAAGTGCTGCAACACCCTATATGAGAGGTGGTTAGATTTAAAGCGTTCCTAAATATTTTCTAAATAGTTAAATAATGTCTTTTAATACTGACAATATATATTTTATTTATCTTATGTTTACGTACTATACCAAAATTAATGCTACTACGAGATACGTATTAAGAAGTTTTTTCTTTATACTGAGAATTTAGAATTTTTCCGACGTCGAGGGCGTCGCTATGTAGGTAATAAAAAAGAGATTGCTTATACCCAGTGGAGTTTCCAGTTACTGATATAGAGCTATAAACTTGTCTGTGTATTATTCAGCGTCTGAATAACCAAATAAGGGACATAACAAGATGGTAAATTCCACTTAGCATAACCCTTAAGTTTTATATATCCGTAAAACTCCAATTTTATTACAGGTGTACCGAATTAAAACCTTTAATGATAGCGTGTATTAAGAAATATCGTCGTCATTAACCATTAAAAAACTAAAGTAAAGTAATGGAAAATTATATTGAAAACCAAATTGCGTGATTAAAACCCAATGTCTTTATGTAATAGAGGCATAAATTAATAATGTCTCTATAATTTGTTTAATAACCAATCTGTAAGAACCATTAAAGCAATGTTAAGGCTGACCGTCAAGACAAATGAGAAAACAAGATGAAATAAACGGCAATGTTAATGAAATAGATAAAGACGGAGAATTGCATGTGGTGCGATCTATAACTATTTTTGATTAATCACTCCTAAACTATTAGGTATTGTATTGGTAACAGTGAGATATGAAAAGAGTGGTGAATTGGGGAGTTAATTTATGATTATTTTTATGTCGAAAAATTTATAAATTTACATTTTGATTATGATAAGAATATAAATAACCCTTAGAAATATAATGTAGTTTTCTCATTCACAGATAGTACAAAACTACATGATAAGACCCTTAGAAATATAATGTAGTTTTATCATTCATAGATAGTATAAAATTAGTCGCTTCCCGCCTGTCTGTACGCTGATATCTTTAAAACTACACAACGAATTTTAATGTGGTTTCCATCCATATACAGAGTGATCTAAGAGGAAGGTTTATCTGTATATTACGGGACTACGCAGACGAAGCCGCTTGTGAAAAGCTAGATTTTAAATAAAACTTATTTTGAAGTTATTTCTTTTTACAAATCTTTATATTTTTGGTGTATACTGACTTTTATGAAATAATACATGATCAATGGCATATATACTATTAAAAAGGCTAGGTTGATTTTAATTTATTTTGGCCGTATAATGTACGCATTTTCTATTATTCTGCGATCTTTCTCAATCATGGGTTTATTTTGATTTCATTTTTGTTTGTCAAGATGATTTTATGTAAATGTAGACTTCTAAATTATTAGTTAACATTATGAAGAATTAGTAATAAATTAATAATCAGCATTATAGTCAAACCTAGACATTGTAAAATAAAACTATTTTTATAATAAAACCGAAAAATAATAATTAATAACTGACACGGTAGTAGACTTTCAATTTGTGCATTGACTTTTTATTAACATTGCTGTTATTTTTCGATGTTTTTTAATTTAAATAGTTTAACAGATTTGTATAAAATAATAAAAAAAAGGATTTGATGTAGTAACCTTTAAAAGAAACTTTTATATTCTTATTTATTTAAAGTGTAAACAAAATGACATTTTATAACCACTGAGACAACTATGCAAACATAATTGACATAGGTATATATATTATACTGCAACTCAGTTATGCCATCATCGTCTACGTAACATACTCATCCAAACATATGTAAATACTATTGGAAGAAAAAAACTAAAAACGAAGAAGAAGAGTATTTATTTTAGATTCTCTTCAATTAGAATCACTAATAGTAGAAATAAATAATTGTAAGTAGTCGTTAAATCGGTTGAGTAAATTGGAAATAATCTCGTCGGAACAATGGTTAGCGCCCTTGGTGTGAGATACAGTTGTTAAGCAACTTTTGCAATGGCCTTTCATAGGATGGATGACCAAAAATTTATTTTGTCGAGCTCCTACGTGCTTCGGGAGGCACGTTTAGCCGTTGTTACAGGCTGCATCTGTAATTGTTAATACCCACGAATACGCATTAGGCCGCGTGGTGGGCCGTGACTCATTCTCCATATTCGATTTGAAGGCCTAGTCCCAGCAGCGTGGTCATTAATAGACTTATGATGATGAGTTGTTGATTTATGAAAATCTGTATTATAAGCACCAGAAATATTTGTTTCTACATTATAAGAGATAGCATGTCAATGGCAGCTTTTTTGACACAATTGTATCTTAACACCTGTCGCTATATTGCAAGACAACAAAAAAAATATATCAACATTGATTCATCAAGACTACTCTCTCTCTCTATATTTAAAATTCTCGTGTCACAATTTTCGTTCCCGAAACGGAAGCTCCTCCGAAACGGCTTGATCGATTTTCATGAAATTTTGTGAGCATATTGAGTAGGTCTAATAATCAACCAACATTTATTTTTCATACCCTTAGTGGAAGGGTTGTCCACCCTTAACATTTTTTGTCTACACTAGAAATTACTCAGAAATAATTTATATGGCAAAACAACGTTTGCCGGGTCAGCTAGTACGTATATTATTATAATAATTTTACGCCGCCATTGAAGTGCCATTATTTCGACAGGACCGATCGGTCGTGATTCATCGATGATTTTCTGAAGGTGATGTCAGGAGTATTAAATAATTGTCGAACATTTATGAAAAGAATTATGAATGTCAAGGAAATAAAAGACGTGCGTATTTACATTTGCAACGCATACCGGCTTATAGCGCTCGGTCTGCAGACCAATTCTACTAATGTTTACGACTAGCATATTTCCACTACCATAGTACTATCTACCTGAAACCCAATATTATGATACAGGGTTATGGGTAATTAGACTATATAGAGGGTAATTATAATTATTTTCACCCCAGACTGTACATCCGAAAGTAATTTTGTAAATTCACTTTTGTTTACAAATTTACGATAGCAAAAAACTTTTTTTTTAATTTAAAACTCTTTAATTTCTGTTTGGATCAAGATTATTTGTGTTTTATTATTATTTATCACGAACTGGAATGTTATCTCTCCAAAACTGTCAACAAAATTAGATTCTGACCATATCTTTTTTTTGGATTTTTAAACAAAATAAAAATAAATACAATTTATCACAAAAATGGTTCACTTTCGGATACATAAAGTGAGGTGAAAATAATTGTAAATGGTCTCCTCTACGACCCCTTAAAAGGATCCGGTTTAATTACCCAAAACCCTGTATATTTGTCACCATTGATGTGTGGGGAAGACATTGCAATAATAATATTGGCCTTCAGGTAGGTAAAATTCAAGTGGTTGATATTCTATTGAAATGCGTTTACTAAGTAAATAGGTATTATCAGAATTAGCCTGCTGGCTCAGTTCTGCCTGCTCTGTAAAGGACATCACCTGATAATTGCCAATACGTAAGATTAAACAAACGTTACGTAACCAATTTAAGGAATAAACTGTTGAAGTACAGACATTTTTGGGAAGCGCTTTTGTAATAACTTACTGCTGTGTGCACAATGTACATATTTATTGATATAATTGCAAACAATACAATACAATAGAATCCAGGAGGTTTGAACTTTGTCATTTAAATGAACCTATCCGTAATCGTTATATTTAAGAATAGAATAGAATATATAATAATGACTCTTCATTGTCAACACAACGAATACAAAAAAATTATACACGAATATTAATATTACAGTGTAACCTAACAATATATTAAGCAGAAAGCTAATATTATTTTAATAAAGTAATTAAATATACCTAAACATTTGTTACGTTTTACTACAGCGAAGTGTAGTATTAATTTATTGCATTTGAATTAAGTAACCTACGCTATAAACGAAATTGTCAAATAAAATCTTAATATACCTAGTGTTGTAGGCAGTTTCTTACTTAGATGTTAATGCAGATAAAATGTTAAAAGCTCTTCATATCTATCAATTAAACAGTGACGGGTCACAGATATCGCTCGCGGAGGTCATCTACCAGTGTATGAGATCGTAGTGTTAGATTTGTAGAGCATTATAAAGATAACTGCAAGAAAATGATTTTAAATCAATTTTATTCTACGGCTTTGCAAATGTGTAATATTGGCTAAATTAAAATATATATTTTTTTTGTATTAATCATATGTTCGAAAATCTAAATTTTAATATTTGGCTCGATAGGAAAAATTGCAGACTAATATATTTCATCTTAACTATATAAAAAATATGTACAAAAAAGGTTCTGATGTTTTCTAAAATGACCGAAACAGTTTCTTTATAAACGTATTTGTTTTTTTTTCTGTAATTAAAAATTTAAGAAAACATGCGAGCTCTTCTTTACACTCAATGCGTTTTTGTTTACATATTTATATGGGAACGTAAGCGGAGGTATAAAAGGATCTTCAGTATTTTTTCCACACGTACGAGTAATATGCGCCGATAATATAGCCCATTATTATAGAAATTGTTTCCCCTGAAGGTAATATTTTATATACGTCTAACAAAGGATGCAATATAAATCCGGAATACAATTCGTTCCCAGGGAAGTACGTGATGAAGAGTCATAGCGATATATAGATAGTATCACGACGACAAGTATCGTCTCTTAGCTCCGCATAAATTACGTACTTTATCGTGAAGTACGGATACACCGAACGTCAGCTTTCTTCCATTAAACATACTTAACAACATATTACAGTGCCACCGTCACGTAATGCAAATTAAGCTGCTGCTTGAAGCTGGTTCAAATAATTTAACTAATCTTCTGGATATTTTAACATGCCATTATATTAATAGGTGTAACATTAGAATATTATGAATTAATTCTGCGAATTTTATTCCGATTGCCGAGGAAAATTAATAGGGGCATAAAACTAGACTAGACTGTTCCTGTCCATCGGTTCATTACGTCTGGCGATAAAATAGATTAAGACAGAATATAACGGTTTTTCATTAATTACTCGCCAACGATTTTATAATCGTAAAAAATGCATACTTCTCCGCTACAAATTAATTCGCTTATTTATAAATTTTCCTACAAAAAGGGTTTATTACAACAAGAAATCAACGAGTTTAATAACAATAATCGTCAAAAATATTATATATCATTTTTTAATTCTTATGACAGTACCTCTAGAAACACGTTATAAGTTCTAATTCTATTTACAACTTATCTAGACGTTATTTTTTGATTTTTGACATCCGCGTTCTCTTAAAACGACTATTTTGTTAGTTTTATGTAACAAAATAGTAAACTGTGACTAGCGTATTTTGACAACGCACACCATGGCACAGTGTTATGTTGTTGTTCTTTTATTTATGTCTATTTTAAATTGTATATTGTGTACGTGATGTATGTTGTCAAAAAGAACGAATTCTATTCTATTGTATATTTATAGTCTACTAGTAACAAATAAATATCACAGATCATTACTTGCCGTTTTCCCTTTATCACATTCTTAATCATTTCTATCGTGTACTTTAAGAATACACTTTTTTCTTCCTTCTCCATTACCTTATATAAATTTTCTTTCCTAAGCGGTGTATTAAGATGTTTGTTTGGTTTTTATTGACGAAGTGTTATTGTTTAGGGCTCACATCCGGACAGTTTATACCGTGTGGCATCGACTGGTGGCTCCTCCGGGGGGCGGGTGGCGCGCGTGCTTCGTGTACTGCGATGGCCTGTCGCGCTGGTGCTTGTCTGCGTGGCACTGTCAGTCTTCGTCTACTTTCTCATGCCAGGTATCCAAAGTAACATTATTTTCTATAACTAAGGTCTTTAGTATACATATGGTGATAAAAAAGATCTATAATAACCATTATGACTTGATGTACTTTAACGGTTTTCAACAAAGCGATTCAAATAATGTTAAAGAGCATTTATGTAACATTTTTAGAATAAATAAAAGATAAAACTAGGATCTATGTGGGGTTTACAAAATTATGATAAAACATGTGTTAAAACCTTTTTGAAACTTCTATTGTAACGAATTTTGCTACTTGGGATGTTATTGGCATGTCCCAGTGACCCAGCTGTGACTTCCCGGTTTTCAGTACCTTCAGGATTTCTAGTGGGTGGGTCCCTAATTAAAAAAAAACCTTTTACTTATTAATATCTTTACTGCTGAGGCATAGGCATGGAATCCCATGAATACTACGCTGGCTGTATGAGGATTGATGGGTATTAAAGACCATGAATGCTTGATATGATGGGATCGATAGATTGACATGCTTTCCGAAGCACTTCTCCGTGATTCTAATCATTAATATATTCAAATTTTGTCACCATACAATTTCAATCGTAGACCGAACGCCACCGATTTCGTCAAAGTAACATAACCTAAGTATGCCATATTTGAACAAGGAAACATGCTTAATACCTACTGTATTTTCTTTAGTTGTACACCATGAGCAAATCATACAAATACAGATAAAACTGATATTGAAAAAAAAAACTCGATTACGATAACAGCCTCTATAATAATTACAAAACAAACAAAAAAAGCATGATTCCTTTGTCGCCATGCATGCCACCTTATTCTGAAGATCTTTTTTTACAATATGTTCAATTTGTAACTTTCGATAAAAATCTTTTGATATTGTAGAACCTTTCACTAAAACGTTCTAATAACATTTTTAAAAAAGCACATAAAACCTGATAACATCAGTTTATGATAAAAATACGTAACGTTAAATAAGTATAAAACTGAAAGTAATTGTAAATATAAAAAAAACAATATTAAAAAAGTATAACTTACCTATTAATTTACGTTCGCTGCGAATTTAACTTTGGTAGGCTTAGCCTTTCACAATGCCAAAAGCATTATAAAAACTCATTTAAGATCAACCAACCTTAAAAAATAATACAATAAGAGATAAAGAAGTGTATAACATCAACCATAGATTTTACTTACATACATTCTGCTTTCTATAACTAACGCTTGTTTATTATTGAAAACAAAAAATACACTAACTTAGTTCTTATTAGCTTAGTTGTACTTAGTTGTGGGTCCACTTATTAAAAACTCGTTGAAGAAATTCTACGCCGTTTTTTTTCATCCCAAGACTTTTCAACTATGTATATTATCATACGCTCTTACCTAAGAAGTTTATATATTAAACCTTTGTTTTCGTCAATCTCAAAATATACGAGTATTATATATACCTCTATTGTTGTTGTTAATAATTATTGTAATTTCATGGTTTGTGGTTATGAACTCCACTGTGGCTCAGAAGCACAATTAAAGATCTTAAAAGCGATGCTAATTCCATTATCAAAATCACTCGTCGATTATGCGTCATCACATCACACACGGTCATTGGAATTGCTTCACATTAAAGAGTTATTAACAAGGGCCTTGCTTTAAAAAAAAAGGTACATAAGCTGTTCATTTACAGTATCAATTGGATATACGATTTTAGCTCACAAAACATTCACAAGTTAGTGTCTCATCAATTAACACTTGAATTATAGCGATACATATCTAGTTCAGTCGCTAATATAACGTAATAGCTGTTTTCCCACAACTTCGCCCACAAAAATAATAACCTATGTCAACCACGTATGATGTGGCTCCCCGTAGGTGAAAAAAAATCACGATTATCCAATAGTATTTCTAACGATCACAATACACAAATAAACAAACACAGAAAGTTAGCTTTATAATATTGTAAAAAATATGGAGAAGCAAGCTAAGATAACGTAGTTTATTATTTAAAACTAGCTGTCCCGGCGAACTTCTTACCGCCATATACCAGTTTTTTATAAATTATATAGTATACAAACATTGTCCTGACAATAAACAGCACATAAAAAAAGAATCATTCAATTTAGTGCAGTCGTTTGGAAGTTATGCGCGCGTATATACATTTATTCAAGCTCGCGGATAATCAAATACAAGACTGAAAAAAAGATAATTTATTAAACTAAAAACTCTTTATTAAAAAAAATCTATCTCCCCCTTAATATGGAATCCATGATCTAATACTACAAGCTTAAACTGTTACATCATTTTAAACAAACGATTGAATTGAGTCGATCATGTCGAAAGTTATTACGATGTTTGTGTATACTGGAGACGCGCGGGTCGCACGCGCCGCCCGGCCGTGTCAAAGGTGAAGTCGGATGTAACACTGCACTAGAGAATGAGCGTGTCGAATTAGCATCAATGTATTCTTAATTAAAACTTCACTTTATAGGCAACGATATTATAGGATGAGTCATATATTTTAAGATAGAAGTTAATATAAATTTAAACAAATAAAAAAGAAAGTCGATTGTTATTATGTGTAGGTATATTAAGCTGGGTGGAAGCGAGGTATTACGCGCGCGGGTCGCACGCGCCACCCGGTCATGTCATAGGTGAAGTCAGATGTAACACTGCACTAGAGAATGAGCCTGTCGAATTAGCATCAATATGTGTTCTTAATTAAAAATTTATTGCCAACTTTCTTATGGCATTCTAGAACAACATAATTATATGAAATTAAAAGTAATAAAAAATGTTCACATGAATAAGCTATAAAAAGAAAGAAATAATTGACAAAAAATATTTTAAAATATATTTCATGTGTTTAATATAAAGTTATAAGTTATAATATCGATTTTCAATATTATAACTAATCAAGAATATCGTCAATTATGTTTCGTAGCTTTGTTAGTTAATTATACCTTTGATGAAAATAATCCATTATTTTAACAGGTAACATTTTCTTAGGCACGATAGTTTTTATTTAAAAAGTAAATGACTAAACTATACTTTAGTCATTTACTTTGACTGACTAAACGATTTCACTAAATTTAAAATATTAACAAAATTTAAATAAACAAAAGTTATAAGTCACGGTGGACAGGGTGATTTTATATTATATGTAAAATCATGAATTTGTTAATTCATTAAGTATAATATTAATTAATGAAAGCAAAATTTACATATCGAAAGCTGCAAAGGTTAAAAATGCATTCACAGCTTAAATTATTCGAGACGAAAGTGAGAACATCATAAAATAACTTTCAAAGCAATTACAATCCTTTTCATGTATGAACTTGTACTTATTTTGATAAAAGTGTGAACCTTTCTCGGTTGCTGCTCTTCATAAATATTCAGTCACTTTCACTTGATCGACAAAACATTTTAATAATGACTCCTCGTTGACATGAAATCATTGTAATAATAAAAGAAACAATACGTGAAATGTTAAAAGTTAACTTAAGTCCTTTTGGAAGTAGCATTAACTTCTATTCAGTATCCTTGTATATTTGAGAAATTTTATTGCATTGTTTGAAAGACATCAGGGCCTCAATTCTGCTCATCTCAATTAGGGTATCATAAAATTATGTCCTATAATCGAAAATACAGGTTTCTTTTATATGTCGGAAAATATGAACCATAGCAAGTTAGAAATATTTAACAAAATAAGTTTTATTATACTTTTAAATAAGTATAATTTGAAAAATACGCTTTGAAAACTTGAAAAACGTAGGGAAAATATATGACAAAGACATGGCACTAAATTACTTACATAAAACGTAACAACGTAAAAGAACTTCCAAAATTATTTTCATGCCGTTCACCATTCAAAACAGTCACTCACGAAGAATATATTGGTGAATAATCCTCTAAGATTTTGTGTAAATTATGGAACTGATATTGTACTTACGTAGTTTTAATGAGATATTAAGTAATAAGAAACATTTTATAAAAATAGAAACTTAAATATTAACATTAATATTAGGTCCTTACATACGAAATTGGCGTTTTGTCGTACTGGCCACTTTAATCACAAATTTCTCATCCTTGGTTGGGAATTGCAATTTTATACAGCCATTTACACATATATTTGTGTTGCGTTAGGCGGCATTCATTTGTTTATTTGCGTTTTTGGTTCCTACGTTTTCGTTCTGGAAATTTTGACCTGCAGAACAAGCCCCGTGGACGGTCGGAGACCCTAGTTAATAATGAAGAATTAAAGGCTATTGTGGAAGCGGATCCATCGCAAACTACGTCCGAGTTAGCTCCAGGCTGCGGTATTAGTGATAAACCTGTTTTAATCCACTTGAAGCAAATTGGAAAGATTAAAAAGCTAGAAACTGAAGCAAACCGGCAAACGCGCTTCGACTGCTGCGTAATATTACTTAACCGGCACAATAATAAAGGGTTTTCACATCCAATCATTACCTGTGATAAAAAGTGGATTCTCTACGATAATCGGAAGCGCTCATCGCAATGGTTGGACCCTGGCATGCCAGCCAAATCCTGCCCCAAGCGCAAATTGTCCCCAAAAAGTTATTAGAATGTTTACAGCGTTTGGTGTACTAGTGCCAGTGTCGTTCATAACAGTTTTCTCAAATCTGGCCAGACGATTACGGCTATTGTCAGCAATTGCAAACCATGCTCCAAAAACTATCTGTTTAGCAACCAAGGCTGGTAAATCGCTCTACGCCACTACTCTTTCACGACAACGCTAGACCACACAATGCACAACAGACGGCTACCAATTTAAAAGAGCTTCAATTGGAATGTCTAAGACATCCACCGTACACCCCGGACCTTGCTCCAAAAGATTACCATTTTTTTTTGAAATTTGGATAACTTCTTGCAAGGGAAAAAATTCAACTCCGATGGGGCAGTGCAAATCGCCTTCAAAGATTTTATTGATTCCCGTCCGAATGGTTTTTTTAGTAACAGGATCAATGAACTACCTATGAGATGGCAAAAGTGCATAGATAACAATGGTTTATACTTTAATTAAATAAATATATTATATTAAAAATATTCGACTTTTTGTTCTTCCCATACCAAACACCAATTGCATATGTAAGGACCTAATATATTGTGTCATTCAGAAGACAACTAAATGAAATTACCAATACGAAAGGTCTAATTTCGTTATTATTATCTCCAAAGTTGAATTATAAATAAAATCAATTAAAAATTCCCTCCTTTTCTTACTAATTTAAAAAATCATGAAAGCCTTATAATTTTTTATAATAAAAATTCATGAGGCGTTATAAGTTTCAAAAGTTATTGTTATTTAATCAACCAAAATACATTGAATGGTTGACTCCGTCTTAAATTAAAACTAGTTAATAAATTAATCAAATAAGTTAAACTAAAAGACGTCCTGAACAAGTGGTAGGGGAAAAAAAATTTTTTTTGGACGATTCAATAGTGCTTGTAATAGCCTACTTGAATAAAGATATTTTCATTTCATTTCAATAATTTATTTTCAAAATAGATTACTTCATTATGTTTTTCCAAACAAAAAAGACACAAAATGATATAAATAACGCCATCTTTCCGTCACTGCTAAACATTATTTTTCATTTTTTTTCGATTGTCTAATAACTTGCTTTGATATTTAATCTATAAAAGGGCTGATGATGATGATGATGATCCTATGATCGATAATAATCATTTTGGGCAATAATGCTTTCTATTTAAACTTCTGACAAATAGAAAACGACAAATGATACTAAACAAAATATGAGTCAGAAACAGCGTTGCCAGTTTTTGACAAGTCTCCGTGACTTTAATATTAGCTTCAATTTCCAAGGTATAACACTTTCGCATATTTTAAAATGATTTCATATAAAATATATGTATATTTGGTTGATACACATATAAACAATGAATCCAAACCTAACGAAGTCAATGTTTGTTCCAACAATAGATCGATCGTAGGAATCGTGATCACGGTTATATAATAGGCCTATTTGTGAACAAACTCTATGATCTTCATTATAAAAGATGATTGAGTTACAGCCCGGAGGTCTACAATTTGACATTCTTCATGTACAGTTTAAAAGGGGTCTTAGCGAGCCTTCAAATTGCTTTGCGCGCTACTGTTATTAGCGTTTACACAGAAGTACACAAGTGCCTAAGAATTTAGCTAGAGGCTGAGACATATTTATGTGAACTGCAAAGTTGTTAGCTAGTAAATTAGCGCTTGATAGTCTCCTACGGCCAGGTCGACTTCATAGTTTATAGATTGGGTGTGTTATGTAATAAAAAGCGTAATAACATTTATTATTAGGACTATAAGAGCTTATTAAAGTACATATGTTGGGCCATATAACTAAAAATTCAAAGAAATTACAATTAAGAATGATTTTAATTTAAAAGCACATTAAGCTCGATGGTGCAGTGGTGAGCGCCTTCGGTCTGCGATGCGGAGGTTAGACAACTTTCACAAAAGCCAGTAATAGAATGGGTGACCAAAAAAAATATTGATTTATCCTCGTGCTTTGGAAGGTACGTCAAGCCATTGGACTTGGCCCAATTTGCACTGGACCCGAGTGGTAACTCGGACTGACCATTTTCCCTATTGGCTTCGATTCTGTAAACGTATATCTATATATTTAACTGATAAAGAGTTACATTAGGTACAGTTTGTACAAATTTTGTAGTATCAAGCTACTGTACTATAGTGTCGTAACTTTGCCATTAATAAAAATACTATTACCACAATAAGTTACTGTTCTAACAAAACGAAAAAAAATATCACCTTTGACATATAAGAAAATGTACGCTTTTTCAATTCAATAATACCGGATCTTCATATACCTAAAATCCATTAGACAGGACAAGGCCAATGTAATTTAACAAGTTGATCTCTTGATTATATTATAGTTCTGATAAACAAACAAGGAAGACGAGTTATTATAGAAACTTTATATTTTAGAAAGAATTTATATTATATGTATGTCAGGTAGTAAATATTTAAAAGAAAAAAAAAATTAAACGGGTTTCAAAAGCTTAAAAGCTTAAACATAACAAAAATTATAGGAGAGGAAATTACGCCATTTCGTTTACTTCCGCGTAAGATAGAAAGTAATTTGTTATACGAAAGAATTCTTTCATTTATTTTTATATTACAAAATTGCTGATCGATTTTGTAATAAATTTTGGTCTCTAGAATGTTTTTTAATTTTTCTACAATTCGCGGCGAGATAATTTTTTTAGTTTCTACATTATTCACTCTACGGTTACGATATTCAAAATGGTCGTAGATTTGGTTAAAAAAATGACACCGGAAAAAGGTTTGATTAAAAAAACAAAATGGCGGCCGAGATATTTAACCTGGAAATTTGGCATTTTTCGACCTCTGTTCGGGCAATCGTCAATTGTTTTTCTGTGGGTTTGGAGGGGGGCTTTTTACGCCTGCGACTCGGAATTATAGTCGATTTTTACGTACGGGGAGTTTTCATTTGCGCGTCAACATGGCGGCGGCGGGGGCGGCCATTTTGTTTCGGCAGTGAAAAATCGCCATTTTCCAGTGAGATTTTCTCCAAGATGGCGGCGTCGGACGGGTTCGCGTCGTATGGGGTGGTCGTGGGGCTAGCTGCTAACTTTTTAAGTTGGTAATAATTTCTACTATTTTCGTGGTAGTTTAGGAGATTTTGGGAGAAAAGTGAAATTTCGAAATACGCA